TCATCATAAAAGTCAACATCTGAAGTATGCAAAACAACATCTAGATAAACCAGAGACATTATGGAATCAAATTCTATGGTCTGATGTAACAAAAAATGAACTATTTGGCTACAATCATTAAAGGTATGTTTGAGAAAAAAAGAAGCAGCATTTGATGAAAAGAACTCTTAAACCTGAGGGTAGATCTGTCATGCTTTGAGGATGTATGGCAGACAGTAGCAAAGGGAATGTTGGGAGGATTAAGGGAAGATGGAAGCTAATGTCCCAAACTCAATTAAGAAACTACAGAAGAATAGAGGTTCGGTATCACAACAGGACAATGATCCAAAACATACAACAAAATCAACCTTAAACTACTTTAACAAGCAAAATCTCAGTCCCCAAACTTGAACATTATTGAAAATACATGGTTAGATCTCAAACATGCTGCGCATGCAAGACGACCAATGAATATTTCTGACCTAACCGTCATCACACTTCTGGTTCACAGGCCAACTCAGAGCTCAGTGACCCCCCCTTAGTGTCCAAATGATCCCATCCTTTGGCTCAGAGCCAACCCTCAGGGTATGAGTGTGTGAGAATTTGTGTAAATCAGCAGGAATGTCCTGGAGGAACTGCAGAAATACTCTCTGTACACGACTGATATCTACAGGGACAGCCTAATAATAGAAATCTAGGAATATTACTGGAAGAGTGACTTTGAAGATGACTCCGAACCACGAGCGGGTTGAAGGATATGCTGGGAAATGATGAGGTCTCCAAATATGCACCTAAAATAAAAGAATCCTTAAAAAACAGCATTTAAACAGTAAAGGCTCTCACTGATTACTGTGAAGCTACTATGGACCTTCTGTTTCCCCTTGATAAATCAGAAGAAAATATTAGTCAATAAATAACGTCATAAAATATGAGTAAAATAAAACACATAATGACAGTTGTTTAAAAATCTGAATTTACTCTGATGAGAAGCCTCCAGACCAAGTCCCTGGAAAATAAGCTTTTTATCATTTTTTATTTTTTATTTTTTTAAAGCGCTAGTTTGGCAAAATTTCAAATGTACACAATTTCCCTCCGACTTCAAATGCAGTCAGTCACCCAAGACATGTTCATATTTATTACCTACATGTCTAATCTGGCTAACAAGAGATGGAAGCTAATACCTTGGCAGCTAGCAGTGTACTAATTGCATGCCTGAAATACAAGCTGTGTATAAATACACTAAAATAATACCAGTTTCATGTTAAAATGCTGTGTTACATTTATGCATAGTAATACAATATAGGTTAATAAAAATCATACTGTTATAATAAGGGTCTTATTATAACTCTCTAAGCACTTGTAATTTAGCGCCAGGTGGGACAAACTTTAAAAATTTGTAACTAAAAAACTATTTGAAGCACCTTCTTGAAATGCTGCATGGATGCACAAATTAAAATGACGTATTCGACTGAATTTTTTCATGGAAATCCATGATGTGTCTAGGCCCTAGTTAAGTGACCCATATATATGTTTAAGACCCAGACAAACCCTTCACACAGCAGGTGCTCCCTAGTTGTGGAACAGCCAGCTTTACTATTTCAAATTTTGTATACATTTTTAAAAATATGCCTAGTATAACTACATTTTTGCATGCGATGTGTGAAGCTATCCCATGAGTTCAAAATATAATCGGAACTAAATATCAATTTTATAGACCTTTTTAACCTACAGTGTCTGAAAAGTGACTAATTCGATTTCATTCAAAGTTTTTCACAAATAAAGACAGTTATATCTAATTAACATATAAAAAAAATGACAAATGAGCTATAACTCTTTAATAGTGTAATATTTAAAAAAACGATATTCCACTAAGAGTAGCAATATGATGAAATAGTAAAGCTGGTTGATTTCAAGTAAAATATTATTTTTAGTGTTGTGTTTATACCCAGCTTATATGTCAGCTCAGTTTACTTAATGCAATTTAGCACCAGGTGGGACAAACTTTAAAAAAAATCATAACTAAAAAAACTATTTGAAGCACCTTTTTAAAATTTTGCATGGATGCACAAATTAAAAAGATGTATTTGATTTTTGTCATGGAAGTCCATGATCTAGGCCCTAGTTGAGTGACCCAAAATATGTTTAAGACCCAGACAAACCCCTTCACACAGCAGGTGCTCTCTAGTTGAGGAACAGCCAGGTGCTCACATGCTTCTTTAGTTTTGCCCTGGAGCTACAAGGCTAATGTTGCTAACAAGCAATGGAAGCGTTTAGCCACCAATTAGCACCAATTTGTTAAGTAGTCTGAAACAGACTCGCTTTTGTGGTTCCTGACATGCTGTTATCTACAAACATGGACAATGGTCAGTGTCAGAAACCACATAATAAAGTTCACTAGTCTGAATGGCACTTGTTGACGGTAAACACTTGTGCGTTTCTTTCCCAGCAGCCTCTAGTCGAGGGCCAGAACATGTTGCATAATTTCTCTCTCTGATGTCCAACAGTGATGGACGCTTGAAGGGCAGCTGAATGCAGGCTTTCTTTCTCTCTCTCCGTCTGAGAGGTCATATGGGCCAGCAAAGTGCACTCTGCTCTAGCTGCACTCACTCCAGACGTCTATATTGGTTATTCAAACTGTAAGTAAAGTAATTAAAACAATGAAGTATTGTGAACGTACATGTTTACAAAGAATGCTATGACCTATTTAAAGCCAACATAATAATAAGCTAAATATATACAAAATTGTTATTTATAGAGTACTTTCTATTGTGAGGTGTCTGTCCCAAACCCTGACCCCTTTTGATTCATTTCAAAGTGATGTTGAAAGATTTAGAATTATTTTTATAGTTATTTTATTTTCAAATTAAAAAAAAACTCACATTTTCATGTCACTACCAAAACACAGAGTTTTAGTCTGTAGGCGGAGCCTTATTTTAGCCACGCCCCCTCAAGGCCACATGGTGAGCAGTTAGATCCCGCTGTTTTGAAGCAAATATGTCCCAAAGTCTGAAAATCAGTGTAAAATATTAAAAATTGTCACTACCGAAACACATTAATTTAACAATTAAGTAAACTATTTTGTGTTTTAATGAAAAATAGTATCATTTTATTTGTGTACAACTATTCAAAGCTGTGTTTGCTATTCATGTACTGGCTAGCGTTTTTGAATTCTGCTAAAAAAAAACTTCTGAAACATTTGGTAAAGTTTTAGTAGTGTTAGTAGTTTAGTAGTAATCTTTTTGATACCTTTTAAAGTGAAGTTGAAAGTTTTTGATTTATGAGTTGGTTCAAAAAATGTCGTCCCATGTTTTCATGTCACTACCGAAACACAAATCCCGCGTTTCAATACCAGTTTAAACAAACCCTCGTCCACTTGGCCTCGTCATTTTCCCTCGGGGGGGAATCCTCAGCGCCATCTTAAGGGTTCCTTTACTTTACTACACTGCCGTCGGCTTCAGCAGCAGAACCTGCTGAGAAGTCATTGTGATCTGACACATTTCCCTTTTCTAACCCCAAAATAATGGTGGACAAAGCTGTTATAAGCTGTAGCACTAAACTACTTTAAAATGCTTAGCATTTCAACACCATAACATTCGATTTGCTAGGCTTTGGTTACAGCTTCATCACTTTTCTCTGCTTGTTAGCATGCTAAACACTATTCAGACAACAAGAACAAAAAGAAAGCCCTTTCACCACAGTTCTACACCAAGTTTATAGCCAGACAAAGCAGTTACACAGGTTACATACATTGTGCTCAAACTATATGTACAAAAATATTGTGACATCCCTCCTAATTATTGATTTCAGGTGTTTCAGCCACACCCATTGCTAACACGTGGATAAAATTAAGCACACAGCCTTGCAGTCTCGATAGACAAACACTGGCAGTAGAGGGTCGTAATGATGAGCTCAGTAACTTTAAGCATGGTGCTGTCATAGGATGGCACCTCTGCCACAAGTCAGTTTGTGAGATTTCTGTCCTGCTAGATCTGCCCTAGACAACTGTAAGTGCTATTATTGTGAAATGGAAGCACCTAGGAGCAAAAGAAGTGAGACTGCATCCCTGTCCCTCATGGCCACAGGGTGAGCAGTTAGATCCCATTGTTTTGAAGTAAATGTGTCCTAAAGTCTGAAAATCAATGTGGGACATTAAGAATTGTACATTTGGTAAAGTTTCAGTAGTGTTATTTTTTTTTGTTGGAGACAAAATGGAATAATTTATTTTATTAAAATGAACATAATTAAGGAATTTGTTCACTCAAATCAAAAGGATTTCAATCAAAAATCCAAGTCAGTTAAAATTTGGAAATGTTTTATTTTGGTCAAATGATCCATGTAAGAGTTAATTTTTTTATGTTAAGGGTTTCAACATATTTTCCATATTTTTCCAGACTTCTGTGAAGATTCATTCACACATGTTGCGAAAACCTGAAAATACACTGCTCATTCCAAGGCAACTCACCTTGGGCCTGTCTAGCCACATTTTGGACTTCCTTGAAAAAAATCAAGCAAAAACTTCACTTTCACTCATGAAACCGTGCAAAATTTCAAAACTGCTGTGAATTTTTAGAGTTCTCCAGCTCTAGGCTCTGAGTAGAATTGCGTTTATGGCTCAAATAGTAACTGAGTATAAATACAAGACTAAGCACAATGTTTCCCTTTTAATCAACAGCTTTTCTTTTCAGCAACAGTTTCATTTACTGGCCATAACCCTCATTTGAGGGATGAAATGTGTTGCACTGCCTTTAAATGGTACAAAAGCTCGGTCTGTGTGGGCCTCGTGTTTTGGGTGGCCGTTTGCTGCCTGTTTTAAGCATTCTCTTAGGGGTCCCCACAACAGCTTGGCAGATCAGTCTGAATGAGCTAAATCCCACAAACAAGGGCCAAAGAATTGGGGCGACGGATGGGTAGGGGGCGTTTCCAGGGTAACCCATTTAAAGCCCACTAAAGTCACATGGTCCACAGCTATTGTCCACTCGCCCTCGCTCACTCCGACTTATTTTGGGATAGCCATTGGCACCATGAGTGCCAGCCTGAGCACCACGGATATCGGCCTATCTCTAAACGGAACAACCGGGTTGGACGCCGAGACCAGAGCTGCTATCTATGGTGAGTCAATCCAGCACTGGAGGTGTAGAGTGACCACACGCCCTGCACGGTTCCGTAGTTTAGCTTCTTGTCCTGATTTTTTCTAAAAATAATTTAGATAAGAAGGCTTTTTTACTGCTGAAACACTGTGCTGAGTCATATGTTCAAATTGATATTCCTGATATCAAGAAATTATCAAAATGCCAAATTGTCTTGCCATATTCTAATTTAGCCTTTTTTTTTCGAATTGAAGAAGTCATACATATATATTTAAAGCAGCTCACAGGTCAGTGGGCAGGGCTTTGCTCCAACGCTATTAATGCCAAGGCGACTAGAGGTGGAGTGAAGCTTTCCCGTTTGGAAGTCACTTGTTTTTCCTTCTCCTGATTTTTTTCATAACCTGAGTTTTTTCAATTATCAAACATTTGCAGTGAAAATTTCAAGAACATGTACTGTTTTCAAATGTGATGAATTCAGGTTCAGGTGACTCTGATTCAACTTCATAAAATTCCCTTTTGCATCATCAAAAAATGTGATTTGTGCAAGCTACAAACAAAAGCCTTCTCCTTACAAGCTGCTAATTCAGAGATAAAGCCCAGTTAGCTAAATTGAACTGGCCCACTTGTGGTCCACATTCTTGGGTTTGACACTTTAAAGTGAGTAGAACTAACAAATGTGGCTCAGAACTGGCCCAACTACATTGATGGGCCACACCATTCACACCAGAACTGGCCTACATATATACACACAAGGCAAAATTGTATGCTGTCAGGGATCTGGCCCTATTATGGCCTGCATGCCTGACATCCACCCAGTGGTCAAGCCACACTTGCATAGGAAAGCCAGAATTGGTCGAAAACTGTCTGCTACCTGGGATACGTTTTTGTGCAGTAAGAATACGTAGATAAGCTAAAGAGAAACTAAATAAAGTATGACCTCCAGCTTATGTTCTTCCAGTCAGCATCATTACATTCTGTTGTCTACAAAAATTGAGAAAACCTGGTTGTAGTAGTAGCAGCCATCTTGAACTGTGTTCATTTTTATAGAGTTTGGGACTCATTATCCTGCATTCGTTCCGCCATATTGGCAGGGTTCATTCTTTGTTTACAAGCCCCAAATACTAATATACAACATTAGAGCTGAAAAACTCCCAAACAGAGTGGAGACATGATCTGGATATGCTAATGGTCCTTTCAGAGTGGAGTATTTTCTCCGTGTCTGCGCGGGTGTCCTCCAACAGTCCAAAGACAGGCCAATTGGAGATGCTAAATTGCCTCTAGGTGTGAATGTATATGTCTGACCTATCCAGGGTGTTTCCTGCCTTCTGCCAAAGAGCACTGGGATAGACTCCAGCACCACCCGTGACCCAGGAGGATAAGCGGCTTAGATCATGAGTGAGTGATTAGTTCTGTAAAATTGATCTTTAGCTTGACCAAGACGAGACTGAGTACAAACGAGGTTGACAGGGAGCAGAGACCGAGATCGCTAGTTTAGGGTCGAGAGCAGTTAGCACTAGTTAGCACAAGTTAGCACAATGCTCATTTTTGATAGGGTTTACTTGCTAGCTAAATTAGTCTCTTAGCTCCAGTGCCAAACTAAAATAAAGGTAAATTTTAGATACCAAACATCTTGAACTTTTGCATTAATATTTTTAAGATTTCCAAGATTTGATCTGACTTTTAGAATGTACCGAAGAGTTAGCCTGTACTTATTAAGTTTTGGCTCTTTTCCACTGTGTAGAATTCAGAGTGTTCAACATGGTCATCCTTTCCCTGGCTGTGTGTGTTCTCACGGTGACGGCGGTCATCTGCTGCGTGTCCTACTACAGCCACAGGAGGTGATGTGTCTTTTTTTTACGTACCATTGATTGTTACGTCATTGATATTGACGTTGTTATGCATGGAAGTGACCAATTGTTAGCATGTCTTGTCTCCCGCAGGTGGTGTAAGCGTGCAGGTGGGAACGAGAGCACTGTGGGCCGGGACTCTGGAGCAGAGCTAGTGGATGTGAAGGTCACAAGGAAGAGGCGGAGCTTCCGGAACCCTCTGGCACTGCTCCGGAGACAGGAGTCGAGCAGAGACAACTCCCGCATCTACTACATATACAGCAACCCTCTACCTGTCGGACACCCAGAGGATGAACCATCGACACCTGAAACACCCGAAACACACACTCCTCTTACACTGCAGGACTACGCCAAGGACCCCGCGAGTGGTATAGTCCTGGACCCACCGACATTCTACATGCAGCTGTAGAGCCAACTGGAATGTTCCATCTGTAAAAGGGACAAGGGTATCTGTTGTTTAGATGCAAAGCGCCTCATGGATTTGCTAATGCTGCCTTCATGACTTAAGTTGGAATTGGGACGTTTCTGACTTACAAGTCTGACGGCTTCCAAGCTCAAAATTCCCAGTTTTAATTCCACGTAACTTCAACATAATGGCACTCATGGTGCAAAGTAAGAACAGGAAATAGCATTTTAAGGAATGGAATGGATTTTTGGTCTCATTATATAAAGACATTTGGTTTTGTAGCCACCTGAATGTGATGCTCAGCATCAAATGCTTTGAGATCCCTAAATACTTGAGACAACTTGGATCACTGAAAAATTGGCAAGACATTGGATCAAGCTTGGCACTTCTACATCATTTTGGTGCAACTAATGATGAATTAGTGTAAGATATGCGCACTTTTTTAAAGCTTTTAATAGTCACACAATCTGTTACCTTATAGTGAGTATCCAGCTTTTTTTCCCTGACCTCAAACAGTAAAGTCATGTAAACGCTGACATGGGAAGTCATAAAATTACGAGTTCTCAGTTGCCATGAATGCAGCATAACAGCATAACTCGCATTGAGCAGGCTGAAGATTCTCCACAAGGGGGAGCTTTTCGTCTTATTCACAGGGGAGCCGAGCCAAACCCATGGTGGGAACACAGTAATTAGTCAGCTGAGCTGAAAGTTACAGCCATGATTTTAAAAGGCAAGGCCTGGTGCAGTTAAAACACTATAGCTGGGCTAAATTAGTTAGGTTAGCTAATTAGCATTAAGGCTACTGATTGCTAATATCAGCAATATTACTAAGCTTTTCAGATCAGAAATGAAATCCCTCAGAGTTTTGATGTTTTCTTCTGACATGGTCAGCTGGTGTTCATTTAACATGCTGTGTTAGTAATGAAATTTGAGTGAAGAGTGTGAAAGCTAACTCAGCTACCTAGCTTGCCAACACAACTGAGTGGTATTTGTCACTTTTTGGAACTTGCAATTTGTTGAATTTTTGCTCCACTTTAGCATTTCTGCCGATGAAATACCTTTTCCTACTCTGTTTATGATAAAATAGCAAATGGACCCCCATGTGAATAAGGTTAACATTTCATTTAATTACTGAAAGGGAGAAAACCGGCATGAGCACACACCAGCAGCGTATCTTGAATGCATGTACACTATATGGCCAAAAGTATGTGGACACCCTCCTAATTATTGAGCTCAGGTGTTTCAGTCATACCCATTGCTAACTGCTGTAGTGTATAAATGTATAAGTGTATAAAACCATGCACATAGCCATGCAATCTCCATAAACAAACAATAGTAGTAGAATGGGTGGTACTTAAGAAGATGCCACCTTTGCCACAAGTCGGTTTGCAAAATTTCTGCTCTGCTAGATCTGCCCTGGTCAACCGTAAGTGCTATTATTGTTAAATGGACGTATCTAGGAGCAACAGCTTAGCCATGCATTGGCAGACCAAGCAAACTCACTGACCGGGGCCAAATCGCCTATATTTTGTTGCATAAGTCACTACAGAGCTTCAAACTGCCCCTGGAAGCAACATCAGCACAAGAACTGTACATGCGAAGCTTCACAAAATGGGTTTCCGTAGCCGACCCCAAGATCACTATGCGCAATGCCAAGTGTCGGCTGGAGTGGTGTAAAGCATGCTGCCATTGGACTCTTGGTTTGGTGGATGCCAGGAGATCACTACCTACCGGAATGCATAGTGCCAACGGTAAAGTTTGGTGGAGGAGGGATGATGGGCTGGGGCTGTTTTTCAGGGTTTGGGCCCCTCAGTTCCAGTGAAGGGTGATGTTAATGCTACAGCAAACAAAGACATTTTAGACAATTATATGCATCAAACTTTATGGCAGCAGTTTGAGGAAGACCCTTTCCTGTTCCAGCATGACTGTGACCCTGTGCACAAAGTAAGGTCTATAAAGACAAGGTTTGACAAGTTTATCGCGGAGGAACTCCAGAGGCCTGCACAGATCCCTGACCTCAACCCCACTGAACACCTTTGGGATAAAATGGAACATAGATTGTGAGTCAGGCCTTCTTGTCCAACATCAGTGCCTGACCTCACAAATGCTCTTTTGACTGAATGGGCACTCTTAAAAACTTGTGGAAAGCCTTTCAGAAGAGTGGAGGCTGTAATAGTTGCAAAGAGGAGCAACTCCATATTAATGCCCATGCTTTTGTAATGGAATGTCCAATATGCTTATATAGGGGTAATAGTCAGGTGTCCACAAACTTTTGGCCACAGAGTGTATGTCTGACATCAGAAATTGTGTTATATGAAGTAAGAAGTGTGAAACATTCCCTTCATAGGTAAACTAAACTGTAGCGTGTAAGTGTGGTGCTTTGCATCAGTGACACCAGGTGTCCTCGTTTAGACCGACAACTAGAAAACATAAGCCGAGCAAAGAGGCTGGTTTCCACATATCTCTCTGTTTTATTGGCTCATAAAAGAAGCGAATATGCATGTGCTTTACAAAGTAGGCATAGAGAGAAGCACACCGACCAGAGAACCAGACAGAGAGAAAGAGTTTCGTAAGACAAAGACCAAAAAACTCACTTCTGACCGTAATGATTAGGATTGGGTTAAATAAAAATAAACCAACTACTCTTTCAGACGATTGGCTGGGTTTCTCGGATCAGCCAATCCAGGGCCTCCTTCCTGCCCTGACGCTCCAGCTCTGCCCCAATCGTCTCTCGGCATTTCCTGTGGTAATGGTTCAGCCAGTCACGCTGCAGGAGGGAAAGACATTGACTCGTTTAAGGACTCGAATGTAATTTTTTTGGTATGTCCAGTGTCCATCTGATCTTTCTTGAAGTTTACACAGCAAACAAACTGGATTCTTCACATTTCTGGTGTGGAGAAAATTCATATGCTGAGATTAATCACACTTGTCAGACGAACTAAAGGGGAAGAGAAGCGCAAGTGCTTGTGTTGTAAGCTGTATATATTTAGTCTCTAATTCTCAGAACAGGACATTTTTTTATAGAAGACAAAGGACATTTTATTAGAATTCACACAAGAATTATTCCCCAATGCTGAAATTATTAAACTAAACCATAAGATCATTAACTATAGCTTTTCAAAACTATAATGGCACTTTATACACAATTCTTATGCACATTTTTACACAACCTTTTCTTTCCCTTTAAATAATAATCACTAACTGTAACCATGGTGATACATAGTGAATAATATTTTTGCAAATAAAGATGCTGAAGCAATTCTTGCACTGCTAGTTTGGGGTCACTGTTGGCACGAATCTACATAATTTTCCCCTCTTATGCCAAATGGAGTTAAATGTTTCTTTAGTTTTTCGTAGCTGAAAATAGTAGCAGAAGCCTAAATATCAGCTTTATTTTTCTCAATTTCTATAAAGAATAGCGTCTCTGTCAGGGTCAGAAACCACACAAGCAAGTCTATTTGAGATAAATCAGATCAAGCTAAAATCAAAATTGATCTTCCTGTAATCTTACTGGTTAAAAATAGTCTTATTGGTTAAAAATAATATTAACCAATAATATCATATTTCACCTCCCCCCTCTGAGGCCCTTGAGAGCAGATGCTCAACTAGCTGAGAGACCCTCGCTGACACCGTCAGAGCAGAGATGACTTGAATTGGACTCGCACTTGACTGCCTCGCGACTTGGACTCACGCTTGACTGATTCGCAACTGACTCAGACTCAGGCTGGACTGACTCACAACTTGACTCAGACTCGTGCTTGACTGAGTCATGCTTCGGACTCACGCTTAACAGACTTGCGATGTGACTCAGACTCTCACTTAACTGATTCGTGATTTGGACTTACACTTAACTGACTTGCGACTTGACTTGAAGACTCAAGACCTGACTTGGACTCACACCTCAGAGATTTGACTCAGATTTTCACTACTCGGACTCGCACTCAGATACTCGACTCGAACCCGAACCTCAGAGACCAAACTGTGACTCGCACCTCAGACACAGGAGAGACAACTCGGACTCGCAACCTGGAAACATCAGACTCAACTCGGACTCCTGGAGACTCAAACTCGCACCCCTGAGAGACTCGACTGCGACTGGCACTCCTGAGGTACTTGACTAGAGTTGCACCCCTGCGAGACTCAACTCGGACCCGCATGCCTGCAAGACTCGACTCGGAGTCACACCCCTGAGAGACTTGACTCGGACTATCAACCCAGAGACCCGAACCGGACTCGCAACCCAGAGACTTGAGACTCAACTCAGAATCACAACCTGGAGACTCAACTAGGACTCGCAACACAGAGACATGAGACGAGACTTTGACTCGAACTCCTGGAGACTCGATACTCACACGCCCTCGCAACCCTGAGATTGACACCACAAAGACTTGACTTGGACCCACAACCCAGAGACTCAAGACTTGACACAGATTCACAACCCAGAGATACAAGGCTTGACTATGACTTGCACCTCAAAGAGATTTAATTTTATATGAGTCAAAGTGACTTGTGAACATCTCTGCATCGCGGTATGGAAGAAAAATGACTTATGATTTAAGCATGAAATCTGCATCACAGTTCGTGAGGTATAACCTTTTACTACTGGTTGGAGCTTCAAAGCTCAAGTGCAAAACTGAAAAAGCAAACTTTATTGACTGATCTGCTACGTTTGGGGTACGAGGAAAAGTGTGTACGTTCAATTTAATGAGTTCACCTCTTTCTGTGTGAGAAGTTCAGTGTTGATCATCTTCTGCTGAATGGGGACGAGTGTGAGCGGCTCAAAAGTCAGACTGCCTCTGTTCCTGTAGTTATACTGAGAAAGTGAGAGAGAAAGAGTAACCACAAGAGTTCAAACTACAGGCCAAAAAGTAATTTTAAAAATCCCGAGAACTTTCCCCACAACTGTACATACACTTCTCTGATGGGACGAACTACAATACTGATGAAGTCAGAAATGTCAAACTCTATTTTTCATTCCTCGCTGGAAAGCGTACAGACGATGACGTTTCATAAGGGTTCTTACTTTAGGCTTTGTGGGAACAACCAGAACAACGTTTTCCAGTCGAATGCCAAAGGAGCCGTCTTCATAATATCCAGGCTCTAAAGAAAAAACATCATGAGATCTGCTCTACATCTTTAATTCATTACAGTGAACGAAAGAGATGTAGCAGTGGCACCTAGTGACAGGAGATTGTACCACAATGAGAAAAGAGATGTTCATGAATGCAAGGATGACCAAACTCATAGATATACCTAAATGCTGCGTTGGGTCCAGCCAGACAACAGCGCTGCCATTTTTGGCAAGTCAACATCGCCACTGGACTGCATTCAGTACCATTACAGAGCGGCAGTTTAAGAAAGATACTGTCCAAAATTACACTGTTTAAAGAATATTACACTCAGAAAGCGGGATAGGATTATATAACGGAGGGAACGCAGTGATCCACACTCATGTCTGTGTGATGAGTATTGTTTGTGTGGTGTTTATGTAGATATTGCCGTGTGGTTGGTGAGGCACAGAGAACCTGCTGATGTGATTGTTTTTCCTCTGGTTTTATATGAAGCTTATTTCATTTAATAGTCTATTCAGGGGGTCTTAACTTTATGTAGTAGTTATTTATTTACAGTGATGGTTAAAGCTGTGTAGCTGGGTATGTTACAGCATTCCTTAATCCGTGTAGATATTCATAATAGATTAACTTTAGCACCTTCTTACACAAGCCTGAAGTGAGCTTCTTATTTGCCAGCTTCTTGTTCGAGTGTTCCAGTTCCACCTTAAATGGTGCAGCCGTCACTTTCTTTTGCTGCATCATTTAAGGTGGAATGTGCTGATGTGTATGAGTTTGTGTTTTTACTGGCGCTGAACTCGTTTTCAATGTCAGGTGCTGACCGAACACTTTCCTGCTGGTCCGGACGGCTAATTAAAGAAATAAAAGCTACCGAGAGCCGTATGTGCAGACTAGATTAATCTGTGTCTGAGGATTATAACAAAACAAATGGTGAAAATTGGTGAAAATCGGTTGAGTGTTAAGGAAGTTGTGGCTGATTTAATCCTGAGACCTTCAGTACAAGTGAATTTGTTCACAAGCTGATCTTGACCTCTCCAACATGGCGGACGCACAGACGTATCGCCTCAGACAGAGAACAGACAACACAGCATCTAGGTATGTATATCTATGACTAAACTGCCCATCAAACTTGCCCTCCTATGAACTGTTCTAAGTAATTGAGGTTTTGTTTTGTAACATTGCTAAGAATATAAGAAAACAGCATAATACATAAACCTGCTTACTAAGTTATCGAGAGCCAACGAAGAAAACATGCTAATTTGAGCTTTAAACTGTTTTAAAAACAGACGGGCAGTGTATGTCCATGTCTGTGACAATATGAGTGAAGTATGACCAAACTGCTTCCACGTCTGAGTGTGTGTGTCTCTGTACCATCGCTGAGGATCATCCCGGCCTCCAGCGGTTCATCTGCGAAGGTTTTGTAGCTGATGCCACAGGGACCCTCGTGTACGTTGAGGAAGCAGCCCACGCCGTGGCCCGTGCCGTGCAGGTAATCCAGCCCAGAGTCCCACAGAGCCGCACGCGCAAACGAGTCCAGCAGGTGACCTACCCACACAAAAACATTGCACGAAGGCAACAGGTCTCTCAAAATGCAGGTAATGAGATGTACATCTGAAAGTCCATTCGTTATGCAATGTTTACTCACAATGTAAAGGGCAGCCAACATTTTCAAATGGTGTAAAACAATCAGAAAAAAAGGGTTTTGAAATGCCACTGACCGTATGCTAGAGACAGGCATGAAAAATACGCTGTTCAATTAGCCGAAACGGACAGAGAAGCTGCTTATTGAGGAAGTGACGTTGATAGGGTTGGATACAGTGGTAATAAAGCATACCGCGGTATTTATAAAGGATAAGGTCTAAACAGCCATATAAAAACACATTCCACCCATTTATATTTTATGGGGCTCACTGGTAGGTGGCGCTGACAGAAAGGGGAAAAATATGAGGTGGGAAAAATCAGCTTTCCGTCACTCCAGAATCGAGTGAGGAATCATTGAGGAAGCAGCCCACGCCGTGCGCTGTTATCATGCTAGCTAAGCTAATGCTAACCACCTCGTCGCTCTTAGTCTGCAGCACTGTTTAACTTTTATCAATTGTTATATGGTTCGACATTTATTGAATGATGACTTGAAAATTTAAAAGAAATCTTCTAAATGAGATGTCCTCTTGATCTCAGGTACTTCTCCTGGACACAGTCCAGTCTGAGATCAGAGAGACTTGAGCCATTTTCTCCTCTTTCTGAAATTTGACTCTTGAGAAATAAAACTCAGATTGTCTCACTTTGATCAAAATACTGTCAAACATGTGGATTAACTCTTCAGTGTCTGACTTGTCTCAGCCTAGTCTCAGCTGAATAATATCTCCATAAGAAAAGTGTGAGATCTCATCGTCATCTGTCAGTGCAAAAGGAGAACCCACGCTTTTCTCCTTCATCACCAGAACGTCTCACAGTGAGATGCTGATATTAATCTCCTCTTTTTTGAGAAATTCTTAAGAAAGATTTTTTTCCCCCCATGTGCACATAAGCAAACTGCAGATTTTGTTTTTTAATTTTGAAATAACACAGGACAAGAAAGCAAGAGAGCATTAGAAATGCTTTTATGTCCCTTACAACGTTTACAACCACCCCTAGTAATACAGTGTACTGTGGTACAGCCCAACCGTAGATACTGACATTGTCCATCTTAAAAGGATTTTATACTTTAATGATATTTAAATAATTTAAAATATATTTGTATTTTGTGGAATGAAAATCACTGTCTGGTTGGGAATTGCCATGAACAGAAATCAGAAACCATCGGCTTTAGTTTGGCTCAAACAAGCAGTAGTTATAAATAAAATTGCAAATATGAGGTATCCAAACATTTTGCCGTTGGCCAAGCAGAAATTCAGAGTTAGACAGTCTAGCTAAATCTGGCACACTTATTAAAATTACACTGTTGATTAATTTGTCTCTGTTAAATAAACAAACGAAGTAACTGATGATCAGTGGTGTAGAGGTCTGCGCTGGACTGTTTTTTACGAAACGTTTTGTCCCACTCCCACCCGCACAGTTCCATCAAGGCAAACTGACATCCAATATCAGACACGGTCTAATCACAAATACATCACCCTCTTCTGAAATAACACGACGGTCATGGTCATCAGGACAGTTATTTTTGGTGTTTTGCTGGGCAGCTCTGGCCGTCAGACTGAAGGCCTCACCATTTCTGTAAGCTACAAGAATTTGCGTGTTGTTCATGTGATCTTTAGAATGGCTTCATTCATTTTAACTGTGTGTGTATATATATATATATATATATATATATATATATATATATATATATACAGTTAAAATGAATGAAGCCATTCTAAAGATCACATGAACAACACGCAAATATATATATATATATATGATTTAGCAATGTTCTACTTTATTTAGGCTTTTCATTAATTTGCAGGATTTCTCTTCACACCGGCAGTGACTTTTCACCTCTGGTTTCACTGACGCCAAGCAGAAATCAGATGCGTTCCCACTAGAAATAAAAATCCTGGTGAGAAATCGCTTGTGTGCTTATCTTTATTTAATCCCTGTGTCTGTGCGGTCAGTATGTGAGGAAAACGCTGTTTGGTCTTTATAATTACTGTCTATTTGCGGCGAAAGCACCAACACCATTATTCCACCTGTAGTAGGAACAATTATCTAGGAACCAAAAATAGAGGGTACCATTTCACAGTGGCAGAGATAAAGTGCGTACTACGCTGCTCAATGCTCAATTCCTATTGGTTATCGCCACATCGCTTTGCTCCTTATTTGCATAAAGTTAAACTCTGCTCAACTCTGCTCAGTTTGCCAACTCCACCCACTTCATGTCACCAACATTCGTGCCGCCTCCTGTCGCCGGAAATCGCCAGCTCTCATTGAAAATGAATGACCCCTGGCCGCTTTGTCGCATCACATCACTGTCAGTGTGAACGCAGGGTAAAAGAGAATAGTGTCAAAATGAAGTGTGAGAGGTTTCATGCTAACAGAATGTGCTTCTTCTTCCAACTAGTGGGGTTTATGTGCTGTTTGTGGCACTGAAATAATGTTCACCTATTCAAATACTAATCAAACACTTGTTACTAATTGATTCATGCCCATCCCCAACTTATACCCTGTATACCTCTTGAAAACAAACTCTCTTGGTAGGAACTCGTTGTCAAAAAGGTACCTTTGGTTCCATTGGGGAAAACTGCAGCGCTGACCGCGATGTGGCCCTTCAGAACGTATGTGAAGCATTCCTGAAAAGCACAAGGAAAACAGAAGCAGATGCATTAGCTTTCACTTACTGCAGAGGGAGCCAGAGGACAAGTCAAGGAACAATAACTCTCAGAACATATGCATCACGCATCTCAGGGTAAAGACAGGGTTCTACAGTGAGCCTGTTGCCAAGGAGCACTAGATCTGAAATAAACAGGAGCACACAGAAAAATCTATGGGCACAAACTTAATACAAACTTTTTTTTGTTCCATTTTCAGGTTTGAATCTCCTATCAATGAGTTTCCATCCATCGTGATTGTCAATCAAGTTGGACAGCTTAAAGCCATGGATGGCGTTCTTTCCCCAAACATTTAGGACACAAGAATGTATTTATATCTGTCTTGCAATCTTTACTGCACAGCTACAGCACTCTAATTAGCAGACGCTCTTATCCAGAGCGACTTACAGTTCAAATATTTTACACAGGTAGGTGAAGGTAGTGTTAGGAGTCTTGCCCAAGGACTCTTATTGGTATAGTGTAGGGTGCTCCTCAGGCTGGGGACTGAACCCCAGGCTACATCATAGAAAGCAGGGGTGTTACCCACTACACCACTACACCATACCAACCGCTGCATCAAAGTCTAAAGATGGGAGTCTTATGCTAAAACAGCAGTGTGAGACCTGACAGTTGAGCAGGTTAGCTGTTCAGTAGGTTATTTAGGCTCCTTGTGATGTTGTAGAACTCAATATTGCAATAACTTTCCAGTAATGTAATAACCCCAAAAAATAATAAAAGGTTTCACTTAGCTTCATCAAAAATGTAATACAAATCAATAATATAATAACTTGTCCAATAATGTAATACAATGTCTTAACTGATAATATACTAATACTTTTACAGATACTGTGTGTTTTGTGCTGCACACAAGAAACGAGGGGAGCATCAATGAGGCAAAGTTTTAGAGGAGTTTGATCTTCTTTCAGAAAGAGTCTTAACTTTTCTGACGTCTTGTAAGACTGTAACTGGCCAAGTGTGGACAAAGTAATACAGTCTTATGAAAATCAGATGAAAGAACTTATATTATTTTTATGAGAGCGAAAAACGAACAAATCAGTCAAATCTGAGCGCTTTTGAGGGCTAACAGCGGTACCTCCTGCTTTCCTCAATGACGTAACTGCGCATGGTCAACCAAAAAATGTAATTCCCTAAAAATGTAATAAGCTATTACATTAGCAGTAAAAATATTATTGCATTATCAGTTAAGACTTTGTATTACATTATTGGGCAAGTCATTGTATTATTGGATTTTATTATATTTTAGATCAAGTTAAGTGCAAAATCTTATTCCTTATTACGTTATTAGGAAATTATTACAATATTGGGTTCTACATATGGGTGATGTCTTCTTGAGACATGTGCGAAGACAGCAGCCCTAGAGGCCAGCGGCACGCATCGCCAAATCCACATGTTCACAAAAACAAGTGCTGTTCCAGTCAAAATCTGTTCTTCCGAACCCAAATTCTGACTGATTTTTCAGAAAAGATATGCAAATGTGAGAACTGTCTTGCACTGTGCTAATCTAAGATTTATGTTCCATGGAAATATACACCGATCAGGCATAACATTATAACCACACTAACACACCACCACCACATCAGTGTTACTGCAGTGCTGAGAATGATCCACCACCCAAATAGTACCTGCTCTGTGAGGGTCCATGGGGGTCCTGACCACTGAAGAATAGGGTAAAAGGGGGCTAACAAAGTATGCAGAGAAACAGATGGACTACAGTCTGTAACTGTAGAACTACAAAGTGCACCTATATAGTAAGTGGAGCTGATAAAATGGACAATGAGCGTAGAAACAAGGAGGTGGTCATAATGTTATGCCTGATCGGTGTATTGGTGGCTATCAAAGGCTATAGCTACGTCAGTACTTTTACTCCTAAAGTCTGGCACGTTCAGCCTCTGATTTAGCCATGGTGACAAAATATAATATGTGAGACTGTGTCCCAAATGTATGCTAAACACTATAATACAAAGAATAAACAATGTACTAATCTGAACAGTGTAATGTTTAGCCGGGTTAGTATGCCAAATATTAACACACCACACCCTTCTGTATAAACTAGCGCTAAATCCCGGCTTGATAGTGTTTCGCAACCATGTTGAGATCCTCCCTTTCCACTGTCAGTCAGACAGATGGTAGGCTAGATTACCTTCTCGTAGTCTGAGGGAGTTCCGAAGTGCACTGTACGAGTCACGTCCGTCGTTCCGTCCCTGTGAACAAGAGGAACACATAGTGTTGTGACAGACAGCAGCAGTTAGCTTATTAGCGACTCTACAGAAACCTAATTATTAAGTGAAATATCTACATCTATGTCTATTAGCCCGTAAAAACAGATCAGCAAATAAAATTAAATTAACACAGTTTGCCCCTTTTATCCTAAAAGTTGTCCGCTAAGTCATGTATGGTGTTGGATGTTTGCTTCTTCAGTTCTGCGCTGAAGCTACGAGGCTAACAGTACCAGAATCACCACACAGTCGCCTCAAACTGGTTCATTAATCTCAAATAGACATGCTGACACTGTATGACACTGTTATCTAGAAACATGGACACCATATGGGTAAAAAAACAGCCTGACTTTTGTCCATTTTATGTCATACAGTGTCAGAAACCACAATAGCAAGTATTTTTACATTAGCTTGTAAAGTAGCTTAGCTAGTGTCTGAATAGTTTAGCTTGTGTCTGGGAAAGTCCCACCGGACACAAAGTCTGGTAAAAAGATGTACATGTCCAATTCTGTAGGACGAGACCACTTTAGCAGGGGTCAGTCGCATGTCCACAACTCCTATCAAAAAGTATGTCGCTTTGTAAAGAACAGGATCAGGCCGCACTACACATCTTGCATCGCCTTGCGAAATGAGGCAGATTCAGAAAATTGATGACAAAAAATAAATAAATAAAATTGTTTTTTAAATGTTGGTGCAGTTAACAAGCTAGCTAACCTGCTAACCATAAACAGTAACAACAAAACAGTGAATAAAAGTATACCAGATAATTAGATACTCGCAGGTTGCAATGAGGTGACTTGAGTGCAGCTGCAGTTAGACCAGAAGCTAACACAGCAGTTAGCAAGCTGGCTAAATCGCATACCATAAACAGTAAAACAAGAAACATGAACGTATTTACATCAGATAATGTATCTCGCCACAGCACAGTAGAGATTGGGCACGGTTGTGAGGTGAATTTCGTGCCCATGAGCTAACATAGCAGTTAGCAAGCTGGCGAACCCATCTGGGACAAACAGTAAAACCACAAAAGGAAATATAATAAAGTATCAGGCAGTTTTTTGTCTATTTACAGGCAGTGGGAAAGAAATGGTAAAAGATTTGTACTTGGACACTGTTTAAATTAGCGTTCAGTGAACGCTGTGCTTTCAAACGTCAACACAGCCAAAGCAGGTGCACTACTGGACGAAGACACGAAATCGTGCGTCAAAGAAATTTATTCGCCCCACGAGTCTGGAGTGTGAAATTTCACTTGTGAAAATCTGCTAGCCAATGAAGGTTGACTGGGCCTTTATGCTAAAGGAAACAGTGTTGTTGATTAAGTGTGGATGTTTAAAAGTAGCTAGTAGCTAGTAGCTAGTATGCCCTTGTACAAACATTTAACTGCCATGCACAAAAGGCTACATACACTTTATCTGACAATTCATGAGTGACAAAGCATGTTTATAGTAATGAGAGGGCTAATAAAGTCACAAGCCCGTAATCCACTGAGAGAAAACACTCCATTTCTCCTAGAAGACACTGTTGGGAAGCAGTTCAGGTTTGCCGCTCGTGCCGCGTCCCTCTGGTTTAAAACTGGACAAGGTTAATGCTAATTGACGTATCATTTCTAGTCATTACGGTACAGATTTAACTGACAATAAATATTGAAATATTACTGAATTGGACTTGATTTGATTTGACATTGTTGTCGACTGTATGTTGATATACCTACTAGGCTACTTCAGTAAACAAAATATGGCACTGAATCATGATGAAAGTTAGACATTATGATGTTCCGGACCTTTGCTTGAGGAAATTTTCTGTAAGTGGACCTTACTGAATTTTAATTAAAGACCTCTGCCGTATGCCATCAAAAATGTTTTTGCTATGAAAGAGTTTTTATCATAGACTAGTTGAGAACATGTAATTGATAATGTTCGGACTAGGTTAAGTGAATTTTTTCTATCATTTTAAGTGAAAAGTAAGTACACATCCTGTACAGAGTGCACATTCACATTGTAATGTATAACTTATTGGAAAAAAAAATAAAAACATAAAATGTGGCCTGTGCAAAAGTTATGGCACTTCTTATATTTTATGAGTAGTTTATTTACTCAGCGAATAAACAGAATATATATACACACACACACA